GGAATGAGACGAAGTTGAAGAGAAGTAAAATATATTAGGATAGATATAACACCGGTGTAAAATGGATGGAAACTAAAGAGATTCTTCTTGAAACAGAACAAATCTGGTTCTCCCAAAAGTGAGTATAGGATTTACTTAGGGATTACTCCAAGTAATTAGGGAAAAATATAGAGGAAAAGAAAGCACTTTATAAAAAATGAAAAGTTGTACAATGAAAGAAGGTATTAGCTTGGCCAAAAGAGTAACAACAAAAGAGCTGTTGGGGATGAAGTAAAATATAGCCATGACAACAACGGAATCTTCTAGAAAATCGAAGGAAAACAGCTGATACACTAAATTAATATTTCACTCAGTTTACTAAGGAAGAAGACAGCAACAAGTCTCAAGCAGTGGTAGGACAAAGTTCTGTATTAAACAGAATCATCATAAACATTGAGAAATATTACAGGTACCAGAAGTACTTATGATAAATAAATACTCCAGGCCTAAAATGAGACTCTTCAACAGCTGCTCAAGGAAGGGACTGCACAATTTTGAATGTAGAGTCGATCCATATGAAGGGTGAGAGAACTTAAAGTACTTACAGATCGATAACTCTAAATTGTATTATATGTCATATTATAGAAACAATTATTAGACCAAACTAAAGGATCACATACAAGCATATCAGATACTTGGTAGTGGTCAACATGTTTTGAGAAAGGCTGGTCTTGCTTATTAAACATACTACAGTTTTTAGAACAAACAACAGTAATGGACACAAAGTATATAAGTATATAAGCCAGCAGCCATATCACCCTGCAACTCACAATTGGCAACCCACTGAAGCTAAGCAGGTTTGAGCCTGGTCAGTACCTAGATGGGAGACCTAGATGGGAAGCTATGGTTGCTGCTGGAAGAGGTGTTAGTGGGGCCAGCAGGGGGCGCTCACCCTGCAGTCCATGTGGGTCCTAATGCCCCAGTATAGTGATGGGGGACACTATACTGTAAACAGGTGCCGTCCTTCGGATGAGACGTAAAACTGAGGTCCTGACTCTCTGTGGTCATTAAAAATCCCAGGGTGTTTCTTGAAAAGAGTAGGGGTGTAACCCCAGTGTCCTGGCCACATTTCCCATTGGCCCTTACCAATCATGGCCTCTTAATAATCCCCATCTATGAACTGGCTTCATTACTCTGCTCTCTTCCCCACTGATAGCTGGTGTGTGGTGAGCGTTCTGGCACACTATGGCTGCCGTCGCATCATCCAGGTGGATGCTGCACATTGGTGGTGGTGGAGGGGGGTCCCCATTACCTGTAAAGCGCTTTGAGTGGAGTGTCCAGAAAAGTGCTATATAAGTTTAAGCAATTTTTATTCTTAACTCTCAAATAAGACCACTGTTCTTCCAATTCATATCAATTATGTATATATAGATCCTGACTTATTTCATAAACTAGTCATGTTTATAGATCATATAGGAGGATTAGAAAACACTTCAGAAGCAGCAAACAAAAAAAAATTGAGATAATTCAGGATTGAGTAAACACCTTGCAGATGATGTGTAATGCAGACAAGTGCTGGGTTTGGCATGCAGGAAGTAAAACCATAATCCACAAATACAATTGAGGAAACACAAAGCAGAGCTAGGTATTTATGTTGGTAAAATAATTACATTTTTTACAACACAAACACAAATTTGGCACAAAACAATGTGGTGGGAGGTACTGTGTTATTCAAAGAGGGCCAACTTTACAGAGCTTCAGCATTGTACTTTTGTAACATTATCTGTCGTCACATTTATTTTTTTTCTGTCTGAAACAAAAGCAGCAATACTAGTTTCATTTCAAGTTTAAACAGCTCCAGTCTGTCATTGTTCTATTTCTAAAAAGCGTTGTTTTACTTTTAAGTTAAATGAATGTTTGTTCCTGCCTTGCCTCCATTGTATTTTTACTAGCACTTACAATAGTAATGCTGTGTAATTAACGTTTATTGTTTAAAAGATGTTCTCAGGTTGCATACAAGCATTTGCAAACAGTATTAGCACTGTATTCAAATTAGTGTTAAAATTCCACAGAGGTGTGTTTGCTTTTGTTTCCTAATCAGTGGAAGCCCAGTGTTTTAGTACTGTTTGTTAAACAGTAACTTGAATGTTGTCTTGCGGCTGGGGATTCACCCAGTCACAATTGGTTTTTGTTGCTGTGGTAACCATTAATATAAAAACATTATCTCTTGGACACCTGAAATCAAATAAATCACATGAGTTTGAAATAAGGGAAAGTAATAACATTTCTCATTTTTGCACCAGTAGATTGAGAACAATAATTACATCTTTTTAGCAATTACAAGATTTCTATTATTTAAAGTTGAGTGGTTGCAGTCAACTTCCAGCAGATCTTTTTATTGGGAAAGTGTATAATATCGTTGTCTACGTAATCCACTGTTTGTCTTGACTGAACTGAACAGGCCTTTGCTTGGCGCTTGTGAAATAGCAAGTAGTACATGAAACAAATACTTATGGGGATAATCAGAAACAGTGGCTGAAAACCGTGCATATTGCATAAAAAATAATGTATAATTAAGGAGAATCAAGCTGGAGAACAGTCTAAGCTCTGTCAGTAATAAACGGCTAATTTTCTCTCAGTCTCTCGACTTAAAATACAGAGTCTGTAATGTGTCCCAGGTAAAATCATAAGTCTTGTTTTGGCTGTGGATCCTTCTTCAGCCTTCACACCCACAGAAGACGCCTCATGAGGCAGAGTGGTGGCTCTGTGGCTCAGGATCTGCGCCTGTGGCTGGAAGGCTGCCGGTTCAAATCCAGCGGCCCGCAGAGGAATCCTACTCCGTTGGGCCCCTGAGCAAGGCCCTTAACCCCAGCTGCTCCAGGGATGCCGTATAAATAGCTGACCCTGTGCTCTGACCCCATGCTTCTCTCTCTGTCTTTGTGTCTCATGGAGAGCAAGCTGGGGTATGTGGAAAGACAAATTCCTAATACAAGAAATTGTTTATGGCCAATAAAGTGATCTTATCTTATATTATTACCTGTAAAGAGTGGAGTGTCCAGAAAAGTGCTTTATAAGTGTAAGGAATTATTATTACTAATATTATTAATTATTAGAGGGGTTCCAGTTACACAGCTTTAAGCATCTGGACATGCCGCTACAGCTGTTTAAATCTTACTTGTAAGATTTCTATTTGTGGTGAATACCTTGAACTGTTTTCTGTAGGGAAAACACTGACATGGGGCCCTCTGTGCCTCTAAACCCTCTCCACAAATTAACAACCTCTGGACACTAAAAACATTTTTTGGTTGCAGCCTTGCCTGACAGTCTTATGATCCCAGGCAGAAGTCCATGGAAAATAACTCTCCATTCCTACAGTCCCAGTCCAACTAGTGCATATCGACAGTCTGAAGGCTGCAGTTACTATTAGTGCTTAGTTGCAAAGAAAACAATGCCAAAGAAAAACGTATTTCCATCTCCATGACAGACCAAGGCCAAACCTATGTTACCCAATTGTTCTGGTTCTTCCTACCATTGATGGCGCCCTTACACCTCTTACTATGCAAACTGCACAATAAAAAAATGAAAGAAAAGAGAGACTGTACACAATGTCAGGATGCTTACTTATGGAAAGCAATAAAAAGCGCAAAAAGAACATTAGGGAATATAGATACAAGTGTAGAAGGTGACTGAAAGAATGTTAAGATTTACAATACACTAGGAGGACCACACTGCAAAATCTGTGTCCAATTTTGGGTCACCCAAAGAAAAGAAAACAACACTTCTCTGAAATTAGTTCAGAGAACAGCCAACAGATACGCTCCCAGTGTTAAAGGCCAAAAGAACTGAGGTGTTTAACTTTGATGAGAGGAGACTACAAGCAGACCAGTTTCAAATGTTTAAAACCATAAAGGACAAGTGTATTACTTCAAACTCAAATAGCAAAACACAAGCCAGAGGTGTCATGCTCATCTCTCTGGATGACCAGGGCATGATATCTCACAGCAGCCAGCCACAACTCATTCAAGTGCTGGTTACCATGATAACTATTTGACTGGAGCCCTGGACCACCTGGAGGCAATGACTTACCACGTCCACCTCAGGTGTTTCACTCTTCAGGAGCTGTGATCTGGCAGTGCTCAGGAACTCTGTCAAAGAGTTAGCTAGGTCTCAAGCGGTGTTCCAATTTTATGAGTTCTCACTCTGTTTGCCTCCTGGATTCTGGGCCCTGCTTCACCCTGACTTCAATATCTGGATTCTTCTCTGGTGCTCTGTGCTGTGTCTCTTGGTTTTGAACTTTGCTTGCCCTGGTTTATGTCTATGGACTGTTTACCTGGACCATACTGGCCAATGCTCACCTTCACTGAGCCTGTCTGTCTCCACTACTGGCCTGCCTCCTGCTCAGGCTACAGTTTGACCGTATTTATCTGCCTGCTCTTGTATTAATTTCATGAATGCGTTACCACCTCCAGCAGTGACATGACAACTTCCTAGAATAAATGCTTTTAACAATTTATCTCCTACAGGTTAAGCTGCATATTAGTAGCCTGTCATCAGGAAACACATAGCAAGTGTTGTACTTTCATGATTTCACATAACGTCTACGCAGAACATGTAACATCCTGTTTTGTGAATTCTGCGTTCTGGCAAAATGCCATTTAAGGGGGTATTTTCTGTTAGACCAGCATAAGAATGGAAAGGACTGAGTCAACAGTTAGCAAGTCATATAATGTATGTGCTAATACTTTATTTGTTACACTGTATGAAAAGACTAACTTTATAACCGTTCGAAGAGACTAGCTTTTGCAAGCTGCTCTCCCGTGTGCACACGGATAAACAGCTCTTCTTTCACCAACATCCAAATTCTGACATTTTAATGTTTCTTCACTTATATGCTTAATAATGACACACAGACAGTTAAAACACCTGCAGACATTGGGAAAGTGTAAGGCTGCCCATTTGAAAATGTTGCTGTTTATCTGGACAGCAACCCCAAGGAATGGGGGGGAACATGGTGCCCTCACCTGGTGTGCTGCTGCAGGTGCGACAGCTGACGGAAGGACTTCTCGCAGTAGGAGCAGTGGTAGGGTTTGACGCCCAGGTGGATCCGCAGGTGCTGGGCCAGGTAGGAGGCATTGGCGAAGGACTTGGAGCAATGTGGGCACTTGTGGGGCTTGGCCTCCGTGTGCGACTTAGAGTGGATCTGCATCTCCGACTTGGTGAAGAAGGTCAGGGGGCACACTTTACACCTGCAGGAACACAAGTGACAACCCACCCCCGGCAGCTGTAAGTGATGACATAAACCCGAGCCTGCCCCGCAGCTGTGGACGTCGCGCCGAGCTCTGCCCGAGTTCTAGACAGCCCACAGCCCTGCAGGTCTCACAAGCAGCTTGATCTGGGCTTTGTCAAGCACTCAGTTGATCCAAATCAGTCATTCATCAGAAACCAGAAGACCCTGTGGCTCTCCAGATCCCTGAACTGTATAATTTGACCATATAACTGATAATCCCACCCTCATGTCAAAACTTCTTTCAAAATGTTTAAATTCCAACCCACCTAAAGGAAAACATTTAAGTTATCTTTTTCTTTACAAGCTGTTGATTGAGATATCACGAACCATGTGACGAAATATGGTCAAGGTAGGAGACATGAGAGCCTGACCAGAGTGAAAGCATGGAAGATGGATTGCAAGTTTCAAGGGATGCTGAAAGATCCTTGTACTGTTCAAGGTTCAAGGTACAAGTAAAGTTCAGAAAAGAATGACAGATTTACCTGCTAGTCATTGAACACATAACTCAGCCTACTCAGCCCTTAGCCTCAATCCTGTAGCTTGGGGACATTATCTATTAGTAGCAAAACTAATTACAAACCTAAAATCAAGCTAAATTACAAAATGAAATCCATTATTCTATTAGAGCTTCCGAAGGCCTCGACAGTCAATTGTGCTAGTCCAAGTCAGGCTGGATCTGTGATCATCTCTGAAAGAGCCAGGTTCAAGCTTGGGTCATGTCACTACCCGACTGTGACTGAGAATCCCCAAGTGGCAACATGCAATTGGCTGAGCGCTGAGAGGGGTTGGGACTGGGCTAAGTCAGCCAGGGCTCTCTTAGCTCCTGGCAATACAGATTCCTGCAGCTGCCAGCTAAACCTGCTGCACACTCTTGTGTGGCCTGTGATCTGTTAAAAGAAGATCGGTACCTAGGTGGACATGGAGTCGTTTATACCACAATGCAACAGCTCGGTGAAGTTTCATTCCTAAAATACAATGCAAAAGTTTTTTTAACAAACTTCTGCAAATAGTAGTTAAGGTTTTGTCTTCTCTGTGGCCGGAGAGACCCACTGACACTAACATTCCCATTCCAATTTTAGTTTTAGAAAAAACTCTCAATTGTTTTTAAGGAAGAAGAACAACAAAACTTCCAGATCTTATAACTACTATTTTGGTTTCAGTACATTACTGGAAGCATTTTCACATGCTGCATAAATAGCACCCAAGTTTGGAGAGAGAGCTTGTAGATGAACAGGCTCTTTCTTTGCTTGGCTGGATCTGTTGTTAGAATAATGTGATGAAAAAAGGTTGCGGAATTTAGCTTGAGCATTTTTAGAGCGGAAATCATGCAAGCTTAAAATTGATTCAGCCAGAGGAATTGATGAATGTACACACTAACAAATGTTTGTCTTAAAAGCACAGCCTATTGACAAGAAGCAAAACACATTTTCCTGCAGAAAAATTGATTCCTAGGATAATCCCTAATCAGACTTGAGCTGCCAATGAAAAGGTAAAAAAAATAAGCAACCATGAACAGAGTTCTGCTAGTCATATTATTCTGAACACTGGCGTATCAATAACCAAGCTGCTGAAAATGTATGCTCATCTGGGTGAACGTTTTCTGTTTTACAAAGAAGTTAAATACAGAAGGGTCTTGACATTTGTGTGGATTCATTATAGAGAACTGTCGCAAATAGCCAAATTCTATTAGCCATTAACTAAGTCTGTCCCAATACCTTTGCTTAATGTATACAGTATATAGTATGTATGGTTAAAAAGCACGTATCCCTCCTCTATATGATTATTAAAGTGCTAACACCTAGGAAGAGGTGTTAGTGGGGCCAGCAGGGGACGCTCACCCTGCGGTCTATGTGGGTCCTGATGCCCCAGTATAGGAACGGGGCCACTATTCTGTAAACAGGCGCCGTCCTTCGGATGAGACATAAAACTGAGGTCCTGACTCTCTGTGGTCATTAAAAATCCCAGGGCATTTCTCGAAAAGAGTAGGGGTGTAACCCTGGCGTCCTGGCCAAATTTCCCATTGGCCCTTACCAATCATGGCCTCCTAATAAATCCCCATCTATGAATTGGCTTCATTACTCTGCTCTCCTCCCCGCTGATAGCTGATGTGTGGTGAGCGTTCTGGCGCACTATGGCTGCCGTCACACCATCCAGGTGTAGCTGCACAATGGTGGTGGTGGAGGGGAGTCCCCATTACCTGTAAAGCCCTTTGAGTGGAGTGTCCAGAAAAGTGCTATATAAATGTAAGCAATTATTATTATTATTAATGCATTGGACTAATTAAAGTACACTGATCAGTTAAAACATTAATAATCACAGACTTATAGTAATCAGGTAAAATAAACAACATGAATCCCTCCTCTACGTGCAGTGGATGCCTGCACTTTCTCTCTCTGTCTGCCATTAGCTCACCCCAGTGTAAAGGAATGGGCAATAAAACTGTCAGTGAGCCTGTAATGTCATCTCCAGCCGGCAACACAAAACCGCAAGCTTTCATTTACGCGTTGAGATAGGGATGATGGTAGTTGGTATTTGGTCAACAGGCAGGTGGAGGCTCACTCGCGAGCTAGATTTTTTCACGTGATCCGAGTCTCATCTAGGGCTGATTTGAAAGTTGCACTTTCCCTTTGGCTCAGTTTCATCCTGCTCTGCTTTTCTTCCATCTAAAACTCTGTCGGCCAGAAGGAATGGCGAATAAGCAAATCTGTGAATGGTAAATTTGCAGATGTCAAGACCCTACTGTACATTCATAACTTTTTACAGTCATGCAGAAACTACAGCTTAAAAGTATTTTGTATTCTTGAGTTAATAGACATATTGCTTATGTGAGACCCAAAGTGTTCTGTCATTTCAAAAGCAAAAGCTGTTTACTAACATGTTTTACAGTCAGTATTCAGATAACAGTAGAAACAAACATAAAGCACAAACTATTTAAGTGATCAACTGGTTTGACCTCTTTTATTAGTACAACTGGCTTTCATCTAAAAAGGACAAAGACACATTGTGCATGGTTGTACAACTCGTGGTGCCATGTTAACTGGAAGTCCTAAAAAAGGCTTTGCTGTGAACACTTTTCCATTAGTTTTTCTACTTGTTAATTGACAGAGCTATACTTTGATCTACTCTGAGAAAGTCCAGTTGGGACTACATTCCTCAGAAAGCTCTGGAGGCAATTAGCTGCAGCTCTCAGTCACCTAACCAGTTTCAGGAAGACATCTGCTCAGGTAAGACTTTGAAAAGTAGGAAGCAGAGCTTCCTGTGTAAGTCAGTGAAGGGCTATGTCCCAAATGAGGCACTAAGCTCTAATCCCTTCCTCCAGGTCCATTCTTCCGTATATGTACACACTTCATACATAGAATATGTATCTAAAATAAAATATTATGAGCTTTAAAACTGTAGAAAATCTACATTTTACCAACACAACTTCACTCCACTTTGATAGGTTAGAAAATGAAAGGTCGATATTCTGCAAAGGAATTTGGGGTAATTCCTTTCAACTAAGTCAAATAGGGAAGCCCTGGAAATTAAAAAGCACTTTCAGCAATCACACTCAGAAATGCACCAAAATTGTAGCACTAATCTTGCATCTTGTCACGAATGTGCCCCCTGCAGGGTAAATACTGTACTCCCCCTGTAATGCAACACTCAGTTGCCCCCCAAAAAAAAACTCTTGAAAGTCAGAACTGGCATAAAACTCACTATGACTCGTATTCAACAGATCTTGTTTCAGAATTGGGTGTATTTTCCTACAGTGGTTTACAAAGCAAAAAGGACTTTCAATATTTTCTGCTTCGTTCCCTTAAGAAAGACAGTACTCACTTTCCAAACCCCAATTACAGCAATTACAGTAAGGAGTGGGGTGAATTCACACCCCTTCTGCACAGATTACTGGGTGTGTAGCTGCCTGCAGATCTTTGCACTATTTAAAGGAGTGGGTTTACAAGCCAAGCATGTGGAAGTGTCTAATATAGAGGCTTAAACCCAGGGTATGGAGAAGAAACCTGCAAGTGCTTTGCATCACTTCTGCAGAGCACAGACTTTCAGCTTTAATGACACCCGTTATTAAACTGTACGGAATCCCACCTGCTCTCATTAAAGTCTCACATACAGCTCCTGCTGACAGACGCAGCCATCCTGCCATCCAAGTTGAGGCTTTGGTCGCTAAATGCATGAAATGTGTGATTTCCTTTCTGGCAACCAAAAGCATTCACTGCACCAGAGCTCCATCCCTGCCTGTATTCTTGTAGAATCAGAGGTTACTTTAATTTGCACCCTGTGCATTTTCCTTGCCATTTTCATACATGTGTGCTTTTAGAATTGAATCCTTTCGAAGACCGATAAAAACACCCCTTTTGTTTTAAAACGCCACCTCTTTACCCCAAAGGTCGTAGGTGTACAGAGCATGTCACCCAGCCATGTGGTTGAAGCCGATACCTCGTTTCCTGCCTTCCTTTAAGAAATGGTCTGATGATCCTTGGATCAATGAACTACAAATTACCAAATGGGCCAGATGAGCTAAATAATAAATAGCCTCAAGACGTTTGAAACCTTTCTTATATTCGTAAGACAAATAATTCAGCAAGCAAACAAGCAAACATAATGGTAACAGCTTGCAAATCCTTATAAATATGCACATGCCAGCACACGCACCGATACGAGCTTATCAGTTAACGGAGAACTACAGTGCAATTTTTATATTTTGGGGTTAGAAAGAATGAGCTTTCATGAGTGCATTTTTAAAATAAAAACAAAATGGAAAAAGATTGTAGTAACCCCAACTTGCATAAAAATAGACTACATTCCCAGGTATGTGCAGCGCCATATTCTGTGATTCAGAAAGAGGCAGCAAACCTTCCAGTGACGTGAAGCAGCCCTATTACACTGTGAACAAGCAAGCTTGTGAATCCATCCTTTTTAATCATATACAATTTCGCAGTTAATCCAATAGAACTGCTTTAA